TTCCTTCCTTCCTTCCTTCCTTCCTTCCTTCCATCCATCCATCCATCCATCCCTTGACTTGGAGTTGAAGAAAAAGTATCTGCCCAGAGGGGCTAACCATTACGATAAATGGACCCTATTTCTTTCTTATTTAGACTTACTGAAATATATCCAGTGCTTTTCGGCAGACCAGAATTAAACAGATTTCAGCCCGTATGCTTATCGATAGCCTGAACTGAAGTCTAAAATAAGGAGGGGAAAAGGCAAGAAACCGGCGACCCCACACTCTGCCACCCCTTCCAATTTCGTTTTCAAACTGCTTGTTGAGGTTTATCCAGACTGAGGAAAATCAAAAAGGGTAGGTTGAAAAAGAAAACTAGAAAGATAGGGAAAAAGAAAAAGAGAATGTAATTTGTTCCTCATAAACAGCTCCTAATGGCTTGTTTTCGTTAGCGCGTCCAATTTCCTACCTTCTTTGATGGAGGTAAATATTCTAATCTGATTCAGTTTACCTCCTGTGGATTGCCAGAGACAATCGTGACAGACGAAGCGTTTTGCAAATCACTAGGAACCGGCTTCCAGGAGTGAACGGCTTCAATAAACAAGAGGCTTTAACGGACGGAAGGCACCTTTTCCCCAGAAGGCGCAGCACATATAAAAGGCAGGATCAGGGCTTCACATCTGTGTGACCAGAGAAGGGAAATGTGGAGGTTGCCCTCCGCCCCCGAAAAATCAAATCCCCTCTTCCTCCCGATGCTCCTAAAGAAATGTGAAGACAGAGATCCATTTAACGGTGTAAAAAGGTTGTTCATCTCTGGCCCTCTTCTGCAGTGTTGCTGCTGCACGGGCACTTGCACCCCATAAATCCCACAGGTTCCCCCACAGGTTTCAGTCGGTTTCACTCCTGAAGTTGGGACTGAATTGGGGGGGGGGGGGGGGCGTTGAGATGGACGCTTAAACCTGCGCCACTAATGTCTGCGCACCTTATTTGTGCCTCTTACACGATTGCAGCGGGATCCTTGTGTCCACGGTGTTTCAGATCTGAGGCTTGCAGGAGCTCCGCAGAGACCCATCGGACGCTCACAGGACATTTCCTGATGACTTTAGCGAATCTCCCTTCTTCCAAGGGGAAAGAAGGCTGCTGACGAGAAGGGCCAAGGGGTGCGGGGAGACTGCTGTTCCGCAGAGACCCAACGGAACAGCAGTCTC